TTACAAAAATACTCCTCTAGTGATGAAGGGAAATCAAAGAAAAAATATACGACAAATTATTTAACGTGGAGCGATTTCAAACTCCTATCCTCGTGCATGTCTTTGCACTATATAAATGGTTCTGCCAAAGATACATTTCCTAAAAACAACAAAGGGAACAATTGGATTAGAACCAAGGACCTGGATAATCTTCAGTCAATCACTCTCCCTTAGACCAACACCCTCATAGAATATCCCCAATTGTGATGCCCACTTGAAGCTCACATTTTGAGCACATTTTCGCAAAATCACACTCTCGACTTCACCGTTACACAACCAAATTGAACAAGGATTTTTGTGAATATCATTCGGCCTCAGTTCCATCATCTAATATGATTTTCAGAATGCGATTCAAAACATAATTATTGGAGAAAGTGATATTCATTTGTAAGATAAGTTAAACAGTTTTGTGTGTTAAGTGCAATTGTTTGGACAAGTCTCTGCGTTACATAAATAAGCGTGCACATTTTTTACTAAAAGTCCAAACGAACGTAAAGACAATTATGGGAGCTATAAACAAACTTCTCGCATCATAACGTAAATGATAAGTGAAAGAGGTGCGATTTTTTTTCCAACTGATTCTTCTATGCATGTCTTTGCACTCCAGCAGAGGTCCTGTGAATGACAAAATTCACTCGCAAAAAAGGGGGCGCTTGGATTTGAACCGAGGACTTCTTGATCTGCAGTCAAATGCTCTACCACTGAGCTACACCCCCACGGAATGCTACGCTTTTTGACGCAATCTTGAATCTATTTTTTAGCTCATTTTCACTTAAATTAAATTCTCGACGTCGCCAGTCCACAACTACCATGAACAAGTATTTTAGAGGATATAATTGGACCTCAGTCACATCATTTTACGTGATTTTCAGAATGGCATTCATTACATCAACATTTGGGAAAGTGAAATGTTTATTAATACAAGTTGCAAAGTATTGTGTATGTAAATCAGATGCTAAGGAAAAGTCTTCATTTGACTTAAAAAGTGCGGAAATATTATTTTTATCTCAAAGAAAGTAAAGACATTCATTGGTATTTTCTTACAAAAATACTCCTCTAGTGATGAAGGGAAATCAAAGAAAAAATATACGACAAATTATTTAACGTGGAGCGATTTCAAACTCCTATCCTCGTGCATGTCTTTGCACTATATAAATGGTTCTGCCAAAGATACATTTCCTAAAAACGACAAAGGGAACAATTGGATTTGAACCAAGGACCTGGATAATCTTCAGTCAATCACTCTCCCTTAGACCAACACCCCCATAGAATATCCCCAATTGTGATGCCCACTTGAAGCTCACATTTTGAGCACATTTTCGCAAAATCACAATCTCGACTTCACCGTTACACAACCAAATTGAACAAGGCTTTTTGTGAATATCATTCGGCCTCAGTTCCATCATCTAATATGATTTGCAGAATGCGATTCAAAACATCATTATTGGAGAAAGTGATATTCATTTGTAAGATAAGTTAAACAGTTTTGTGTGTTAAGTGCAATTGTTTGGACAAGTCTCTGCGTTACATAAATAAGCGTGCACATTTTTTACTAAAAGTCCAAACGAACGTAAAGACAATTATGGGAGCTATAAACAAACTTCTCGCATCATAACGTAAATGATAAGTGAAAGAGGTGCGATTTTTTTTCCAACTGATTCTTCTATGCATGTCTTTGCACTCCAGCAGAGGTCCTGTCAATGACAAATTTCACTCGCAAAAAAGGGGGCGCTTGGATATGAACCGAGGACCTCTTGATCTGCAGTCAAATGCTCTACCACTGAGCTACACCCCCACGGAATGCTACGCTTTTTGACGCAATCTTGAATCTATTTTTTAGCTCATTTTCACTTAAATTAAATTCTCGACGTCGCCAGTCCACAACTACCATGAACAAGTATTTTAGAGGATATAATTGGACCTCAGTCACATCATTTTACGTGATTTTCAGAATGGCATTCATTACATCAACATTTGGGAAAGTGAAATGTTTATTAATACAAGTTGCAAAGTATTGTGTATGTAAATCAGATGCTAAGGAAAAGTCTTCATTTGACTTAAAAAGTGCGGAAATATTATTTTTATCTCAAAGAAAGTGAAGACATTCATTTGTATTTTCTTACAAAAACACTTCTCTAGTGATGAAAGGAATTCAAAGCAAAAATATACGATGCATTGTTTAACGTGGAGCGATTTCAAACTGCTATCCTCGTGCATGTCTTTGCACTGTATAAATGGTTCTGCCAAAGATACATTTCCTAAAAAATACATAGGGGACAGTTGGATTTGAACCAAGGACCTGGATAATCTTCAGTCAATCGCTCTCCCTTAGACCAACACCCCCATAGCATATCCCCAATTGTGACGCCCACTTGAAGCTCACATTTTGAGCACATTTTCGCAAAAACACACTTACGACTTCACCGTTACACAACCAAATTGAACAAGGCTTTTTGTGAATATCATTCGGCCTCAGTTCCATCATCTAATATGATTTGCAGAATGCGATTCAAAACATCATATTTGGAGAAAGTGATATTCATTTGTAAGATAAGTTAAACAGTTTTGTGTGTTAAGTGCAATTGTTTGGACAAGTCTCTGCGTTACACAAATAAGCGTGCACATTTTTTACTAAAAGTCCAAACGAACGTAAAGACAATTATGGGAGCTATAAACAAACTTCTCGCATCATAACGTAAATGATAAGTGAAAGAGGTGCGATTTTTTTTCCAACTGATTCTTCTATGCATGTCTTTGCACTCCAGCAGAGGTCCTGTCAATGACAAATTTCACTCGCAAAAAAGGGGGCGCTTGGATCTGAACCGAGGACCTCTTGATCTGCAGTCAAATGCTCTACCACTGAGCTACACCCCCACGGAATGCTATGCTTTTTGACGCAATCTTGAATCTATTTTTTAGCTCATTTTCACTGAAATTAAATTCTCGACGTCGCCAGTCCACAACTACCATGAACAAGTATTTTAGAGGATATAATTGGACCTCAGTGACATTATTTTACGTGATTTTCAGAATGGCATTCATTACATCAACATTTGGGAAAGTGAAATGTTTGTTAATACAAGTTGCAAAGTATTGTGTATGTAAATCAGATGCTAAGGAAAAGTCTTCATTTGACTTAAAAAGTGCGGAAATATTATTTTTATCTCAAAGAAAGTGAAGACATTCATTTGTATTTTCTTACAAAAACACTTCTCTAGTGATGAAAGGAATTCAAAGCAAAAATATACGATGCATTGTTTAACGTGGAGCGATTTCAAACTGCTATCCTCGTGCATGTCTTTACACTGTATAAATGGTTCTGCCAAAGATACATTTCCTAAAAAATACAAAGGGGACAGTTGGATTTGAACCAAGGACCTGGATAATCTTCAGTCAATCGCTCTCCCTTAGACCAACACCCCCATAGCATATCCCCAATTGTGACGCCCACTTGAAGCTCACATTTTGAGCACATTTTCGCAAAAACACACTCTCGACTTCACCGTTACACAACCAAATTGAACAAGGCTTTTTGTGAATATCATTCGGCCTCAGTTCCATCATCTAATATGATTTTCAGAATGCGATTCAAAACATCATTATTGGAGAAAGTGATATTCATTTGTAAGATAAGTTAAACAGTTTTGTGTGTTAAGTGCAATTGTTTGGACAAGTCTCTGCGTGACGTAAATAAGCGTGCACATTGTTTACTAAAAGTCCAAACGAACGTAAAGACAATTATAGGAGCTATAAACAAACTTCTCGCATCATAACGTAAATGGTAAGTGAAAGAGGTGCGATTTTTTTTTCCAACTGATTCTTCTATGCATGTCTTTGCACTCCAGCAGAGGTCCTGTCAATGGCAAATTTCACTCGCAAAAAAGGGGGCGCTTGGATCTGAACCGAGGACCTCTTGATCTGCAGTCAAATGCTCTACCACTGAGCTACACCCCCACGGAATGCTACGCTTTTTGACGCAATCTTGAATCTATTTTTTAGCTCATTTTCACTGAAATTAAATTCTCGACGTCGCCAGTCCACAACTACCATGAACAAGTATTTTAGAGGATATAATTGGACCTCAGTCACATTATTTTACGTGATTTTCAGAATGGCATTCATTACATCAACATTTGGGAAAGTGAAATGTTTGTTAATACAAGTTGCAAAGTATTGTGTATGTAAATCAGATGCTAAGGAAAAGTCTTCATTTGACTTAAAAAGTGCGGAAATATTATTTTTATCTCAAAGAAAGTGAAGACATTCATTTGTATTTTCTTACAAAAACACTTCTCTAGTGATGAAAGGAATTCAAAGCAAAAATATACGATGCATTGTTTAACGTGGAGCGATTTCAAACTGCTATCCTCGTGCATGTCTTTGCACTGTATAAATGGTTCTGCCAAAGATACATTTCCTAAAAAATACATAGGGGACAGTTGGATTTGAACCAAGGACCTGGATAATCTTCAGTCAATCGCTCTCCCTTAGACCAACACCCCCATAGCATATCCCCAATTGTGACGCCCACTTGAAGCTCACATTTTGAACACATTTTCGCAAAAACACACTCTCGACTTCACCGTTACACAACCAAATTGAACAAGGCTTTTTGTGAATATCATTCGGCCTCAGTTCCATCATCTAATATGATTTTCAGAATGCGATTCAAAACATCATTATTGGAGAAAGTGATATTCATTTGTAAGATAAGTTAAACAGTTTTGTGTGTTAAGTGCAATTGTTTGGACAAGTCTCTGCGTTACATAAATAAGCGTGCACATTTTTTACTAAAAGTCCAAACGAACATAAAGACAATTATAGGGGCTATAAACAAACTTCTCGCATCATAACGTAAATGGTAAGTGAAAGAGGTGCGATTTTTTTTCCAACTGATCCTTCTATGCATGTCTTTGCACTCCAGCAGAGGTCCTGTCAATGACAAATTTCACTCGCAAAAAAGGGGGCGCTTGGATCTGAACCGAGGATCTCTTGATCTGCAGTCAAATGCTCTACCACTGCGCTACACCCCCACTGAATGCTACGCTTTTTGACGCAATCTTGAATCTATTTTTTAGCTCATTTTCACTGAAATTAAATTCTCGACGTCGCCAGTCCACAACTACCATGAACAAGTATTTTAGAGGATATAATTGGACCTCAGTCACATTATTTTATGTGATTTTCAGAATGGCATTCATTACATCAACATTTGGGAAAGTGAAATATTTATTAATACAAGTTGCAAAGTATTGTGTATGTAAATCAGATGCTAAGGAAAAGTCTTCACTTAACTTAAAAAGTGCGGAAATATCATTTTTATCTCAAAGAAAGTGAAGACATTAAGTTGAATTTTCTTACAAAAACACTTCTCTAGTGATGAAGGGAATTCAAAGCAACAATATACGATGCATTGTTTAACGTGGAGCGATTTCAAACTGCTATCCTCGTGCATGTCTTTGCACTGTATAAATGGTTCTGCCAAAGATACATTTCCTAAAAAATACAAAGGGGACAATTGGATTTGAACCAAGGACCTGGATAATCTTCAGTCAATCACTCTCCCTTAGACCAACACCCCCATAGCATATCCCCAATTGTGACGCCCACTTGAAGCTCACATTTTGAACACATTTTCGCAAAAACACACTCTCGACTTCACCGTTACACAACCAAATTGAACAAGGCTTTTTGTGAATATCATTCGGCCTCAGTTCCATCATCTAATATGATTTTCAGAATGCGATTCAAAACATCATATTTGAAGAAAGTGATATTCATTTGTAAGATAAGTTAAACAGTTTTGTGTGTTAAGTGCAATTGTTTGGACAAGTCTCTGCGTGACGTAAATAAGCGTGCACATTTTTTACTAAAAGTCCAAACGAACGTAAAGACAATTATAGGAGCTATAAACAAACTTCTCGCATCATAACGTAAATGGTAAGTGAAAGAGGTGCGATTTTTTTTCCAACTGATTCTTCTATGTATGTCTTTGCACTCCAGCAGAGGTCCTGTCAATGACAAAATTCACTCGCAAAAAAGGGGGCGCTTGGATTTGAACCGAGGACCTCTTGATCTGCAGTCAAATGCTCTACCACTGAGCTACACCCCCACTGAATGCTATGCTTTTTGACGCAATCTTGAATCTATTTTTTAGCTCATTTTCACTGAAATTAAATTCTCGACGTCGCCAGTCCACAACTACCATGAACAAGTATTTTAGAGGATATAATTGGACCTCAGTCACATTATTTTATGTGATTTTCAGAATGGCATTCATTACATCAACAATTGGGAAAGTGAAATGTTTATTAATACAAGTTGCAAAGTATTGTGTATGTAAGTCAGATGCTAACGAAAAGTCTTCACTTGACTTAAAAAGTGCGGAAATATCATTTTTATCTCAAAGAAAGTGAAGACATTCATTGGTATTTTCTTACAAAAACACTTCTCTAGTGATGAAGGGAATTCAAAGTAAAAATATACTATGCATTGTTTAACGTGGAGCGATTTCAAACTGCTATCCTCGTACATGTCTTTGCACTATATAAATGGTTCTGCCAAAGATACATTTCCTAAAAAAGACAAAGGGGACAGTTGGATTTGAACCAAGGACCTGGATAATCTTCAGTCAATCACTCTCCCTTAGACCAACACCCCCATAGCACACCCCAATTGTGATGCCCACTTGAAGCTCACATTTTGAGCACATTTTCGCAAAATCACACTCTCGACTTCACCGTTACACAACCAAATTGAACAAGGCTTTTTGTGAATATCATTCGGCCTCAGTTCCATCATCTAATATGATTTGCAGAATGCGATTCAAAACATCATATTTGGAGAAAGTGATTCTCATTTGTAAGATAAGTTAAACAGTTTTGTCTGTTAAGTGCAATTGTTTGGACAAGTCTCTGTGTTACATAAATAAGCGTGCAGATTTTTTACTAAAAGTCCAAAAGAACGTAAAGACAATTCTGGGAGCTATAAACAAAACTTCTCGCATCATAACGTAAATGTAAAGTAAAAGAGGTGCGATTTTTTTTCCAACTGATTCTTCTATGCATGTCTTTGCACTCCAGCAGAGGTCCTGCGAATGACAAAATTCACTCACAAAAAAGGGGGCGCTTGGATTTGAAAAAAGGACCTCTTGATCTGCAGTCAAATGCTCTACCACTGCGCTACACCCCCACTGAATGCTACGCTTTTTGACGCAATCTTGAATCTATTTTTTAGCTCATTTTCACTGAAATTAAATTCTCGACGTCGCCAGTCCACAACTACCATGAACAAGTATTTTAGAGGATATAATTGGACCTCAGTCACATTATTTTATGTGATTTTAAGAATGGCATTCATTACATCAACATTTGGGAAAGTGAAATATTTATTAATACAAGTTGCAAAGTATTGTGTATGTAAATCAGATGCTAAGGAAAAGTCTTCACTTAACTTAAAAAGTGCGGAAATATCATTTTTATCTCAAAGAAAGTGAAGACATTAAGTTGAATTTTCTTACAAAAACACTTCTCTAGTGATGAAGGGAATTCAAAGCAACAATATACGATGCATTGTTTAACGTGGAGCGATTTCAAACTGCTATCCTCGTGCATGTCTTTGCACTGTATAAATGGTTCTGCCAAAGATACATTTCCTAAAAAATACAAAGGGGACAATTGGATTTGAACCAAGGACCTGGATAATCTTCAGTCAATCACTCTCCCTTAGACCAACACCCCCATAGAATATCCCCAATTGTGATGCCCACTTGAAGCTCACATTTTGAGCACATTTTCGCAAAATCACACTCTCGACTTCACCGTTACACAACCAAATTGAACAAGGCTTTTTGTGAATATCATTCGGCCTCAGTTCCATCATCTAATATGATTTTCAGAATGCGATTCAAAACATCATATTTGAAGAAAGTGATATTCATTTGTAAGATAAGTTAAACAGTTTTGTGTGTTAAGTGCAATTGTTTGGACAAGTCTCTGCGTGACGTAAATAAGCGTGCACATTTTTTACTAAAAGTCCAAACGAACGTAAAGACAATTATAGGAGCTATAAACAAACTTCTCGCATCATAACGTAAATGGTAAGTGAAAGAGGTGCGATTTTTTTTCCAACTGATTCTTCTATGTATGTCTTTGCACTCCAGCAGAGGTCCTGTCAATGACAAAATTCACTCGCAAAAAAGGGGGCGCTTGGATTTGAACCGAGGACCTCTTGATCTGCAGTCAAATGCTCTACCACTGAGCTACACCCCCACTGAATGCTATGCTTTTTGACGCAATCTTGAATCTATTTTTTAGCTCATTTTCACTGAAATTAAATTCTCGACGTCGCCAGTCCACAACTACCATGAACAAGTATTTTAGAGGATATAATTGGACCTCAGTCACATTATTTTATGTGATTTTCAGAATGGCATTCATTACATCAACAATTGGGAAAGTGAAATGTTTATTAATACAAGTTGCAAAGTATTGTGTATGTAAGTCAGATGCTAACGAAAAGTCTTCACTTGACTTAAAAAGTGCGGAAATATCATTTTTATCTCAAAGAAAGTGAAGACATTCATTGGTATTTTCTTACAAAAACACTTCTCTAGTGATGAAGGGAATTCAAAGTAAAAATATACTATGCATTGTTTAACGTGGAGCGATTTCAAACTGCTATCCTCGTACATGTCTTTGCACTATATAAATGGTTCTGCCAAAGATACATTTCCTAAAAAAGACAAAGGGGACAGTTGGATTTGAACCAAGGACCTGGATAATCTTCAGTCAATCACTCTCCCTTAGACCAACACCCCCATAGCACACCCCAATTGTGATGCCCACTTGAAGCTCACATTTTGAGCACATTTTCGCAAAATCACACTCTCGACTTCACCGTTACACAACCAAATTGAACAAGGCTTTTCGTGAATATCATTCGGCCTCAGTTCCATCATCTAATATGATTTGCAGAATGCGATTCAAAACATCATATTTGGAGAAAGTGATTCTCATTTGTAAGATAAGTTAAACAGTTTTGTCTGTTAAGTGCAATTGTTTGGACAAGTCTCTGTGTTACATAAATAAGCGTGCAGATTTTTTACTAAAAGTCCAAAAGAACGTAAAGACAATTCTGGGAGCTATAAACAAAACTTCTCGCATCATAACGTAAATGTAAAGTAAAAGAGGTGCGATTTTTTTTCCAACTGATTCTTCTATGCATGTCTTTGCACTCCAGCAGAGGTCCTGCGAATGACAAAATTCACTCACAAAAAAGGGGGCGCTTGGATTTGAAAAAAGGACCTCTTGATCTGCAGTCAAATGCTCTACCACTGAGCTACACCCCCACTGAATTCTACGCATTTTGACGCAATCTGAAATCTATTTTTTAGCTCATTTTCCCTGAAAATAAATTCTCGACGTCGCCAGTCCACAACCACCATGAACAAGTATTTTAGAGGATATAATTGGACCTCGGTCACATTATTTCATATGATTTTCAGAATGGCATTCATTACATCGACATTTGGGAAAGTGAAATGTTTATTAATACAAGTTGCAAAGTATTGTGTATGTAAGTCAGATGCTATGGAAAAGTCTTCACTTGACTTAAGAAGTGCGGAAATATTATTTTGATCTCAAAGAAAGTGAAGACATTCATTGGTATTTTCTTACAAAAACACTTCTCTCGTGATGAAGGGAATTCAACGTAAAAATATACGATGCATTGTTTAATGTGGAGCGATTTCAAACTGATATCCTCGTGAATGTCTTTGCACTATATAAATGGTTCTGCCAAAGATACATTTCCTAAAAAAGACAAAGGGGACAGTTGGATTTGAACCAAGGACCTGGATAATCTTCAGTCAATCACTCTCCCTTAGACCAACACCCCCATAGCACACCCCAATTGTGATGCCCACGTGAACCTCACATTTTGAGCACATTATCGCAAAATCACACTCTCGACTTCACCGTTACACAACCAAATTGAACAAGGCTTTTTGTGAATATCATTCGGCCTCAGTTCC